CGTTTACGAAAATTAATTAACAATAGAGTAAAATAAATTAGTAAACAAAATTTAAAAAGATTAAAATAGCGTACAAAATCTTTTTAAAATAGTTTTTTGATACCTAAAATAATAATATTTTTACATCTATCTAAATATTAAAAAATTATAAAGACATTCAAATTTTTATTGTGTTCTTTATAGTTAATTGAGATAATTACACAATTTTAAAGAATAATTTGTCATTGAAGATCTTTTTGTTTATTATTTTCATAATATCAAGTTAAAATTATTTATTCTATTCTTATTATTTTTTTTGTAAATAACAATAATATTATTAGTTTTAGTACAATAAATATTTAACTCTCATAATCCATCTCAAGATCCCTTTGCTTTTTCTCTCCTATTACATTGTATCATAAACTTGAATAACAATTTTTAATAAGAGTTCTTATCCATTATTGAAGGCATAATTTTTATCCATGGTTTATAGTGTGTTGATCACAAATTAAATCTTTATCCCTTTATAGAATATTTGGTTATGCATTATAATATATTTTTTCTCAACTTAACACAAAATCTCAAAGTGGTAGGCATAATTTTTAAAAAATTTATTATATTTAGTAATTTATAGGTGTATGTAAGAATTTTGTTTACTATTGTTTGTGTGGTGGGAGACATGCAATGTGTGGTTAGTGTTGGGTTAAATGGAATGTTTTATTTAATTTATGTTATTGTTGCAGTTATGGAGGATTAACTACATTGATTACACATTATGAAGGTTCTTTAGTGTAGTATCCTATGGTTGAATATGTTGATGGTGAGAAGATTGAAAACAACAAATAAAATCTTGACAAGCTCAATTACATGGATATGGTTAATGAAGTAATTGAAAAATGGAGTATTATTAGTATTTAGAGTATGTGTTACTTGATTCTAAACCAAACCAGTTTAGAACCTTTAATTCCATTGACTAATGAACTAATGTGGTCAAGATGACTCAAGAGCTCTCTAAGCATGGGTTTGTTAATGTGTTTGTTGAGTATTTTGATAATGCTTCAACTTTAGAACATGACATTTTGCAGAGTAGTGATGATGAACAATTTGATCTTTAGTTAGATAATGAGGAAGATGTTTTATTATTTGGAATTAGTGTACTTAGTGATGATGATGATCTAGAGTTAATAGGAGCAGTAACTAAGTCTCAACATAATTTACAAGTTCTTGTAGAGCTTATTTCTTTAACAAATGAGCTAGTTCATGTGTCATTTGATAGACCTAATACTAAATATATATCAAGACAAAAAGGTCCAAGAAATCGAGGCAAAAAAATGCATGGATTCTAGAAGCTAGATGATGCAAGTCCATTATTTCTATGTTAGAAGATATTAGACACATGGTGATAGATAGATTGAAAACAAAAAAGAGTTTTTGTGTCATTGTAGGATGGTGATATTGCACCTAGAATTAGAACTATTTTGAAAGAAAATATTAATGAAGCAACTACTTGGACTGCAAAAGGAAAAGGGACTTATGAGTATGAGGTTTACAAGGTTGATTAGAGGTATGTTGTAAACATGAGTAAGAGGGATTGCAGTTGTGGGAACTGACAAAGTATTGGTATATCATGCTGTCATGCCATTTGTACAATGTATGCTTGCAAAGTTAATTATGAAGATGGTGTAGTACATTGATTGCATCAAAAGCCCTAAGACATGGAGGCTATATAAGGCGGTGAGGCTTGAGCCACCACCATTTAGGAAGAACAGAGAAAGACCTAAAGTGAAAAAGGATGAAACCAACGCATGAGACAAAAAAATGTAAAAAATGGGGATGTTGAAAGCCTTTTCGAAAAAGGTATCAAAATGACATTTTCATTGTGTGGTTTACATGGCCATAACAAGAGGGGATGCTCTCGTAAAAATGATTTTAACTTCAAGAAACAAAGGTTGGAGGTTATAATTATTTTACCATGTATCTATTTTTTTTTGTTTTTTTACTTTAAAGCACACATGAAATGATATTTTTTTTCCTAATTTTTTAATGATAGAATCCTATGAATGCAGGAAAAAGAAATCAAATGATACCCCTCACATCCAAGAATTGTTTTCAATGTGAGATGCATTCTCTAACTTTTAAGAAAGTGAAAGTGTAAAAAAAAAAATGTGAGTTTTTTTTTTATTGATATTATTACTATTTTTAAAAACATGTAAATATATAATATCATATTCAAGTAATTTTGTTTTTTTTTTTTGTCATGTAAGGATTTTGGAAAGCGAAAACAAAAGAAGAATAATTATAATTTTCAAAGTAATTTACTTAACTCTTTACATAGATAACTTTCTTCACAGATAACAAAATGCATTACACAAGAAAATCCAAAATTTGAAACATAAACAAGCCCTGATGACTTCTTAAAATTATTATTTTTGCTAATATAACTGTCAAAAATTCAATATAATGTATTGAATAAATTTTTTATTTAAAACATTTTCATATAATATATCTAAATGATAAATTAATTTTAATAAATCTATATAATTTACCTAATTGT